AGAGTTTCCGTCTTCAAGGACCGAGTTCGACATCCATGTCTCCGAGTGGCTGTTGAATTCCACCAGCGCCGCGTACCTTCTCAACGATCGGGACTATGACGCTCACACTCCGCTCCTCATCGAGGTTCACGCGAACCAGTACACTGGAGGCAGGATGAGAGCGCTCAACCGCAATCCCGACACCATGAAGGAGGCCGCGGACAGAAGAAAAGAGAGGCAGAAGCTGAACAAGGCGCGTGGTTCTGGTTCTACTGGTCCTGCAGCCGCACCACACGGAACAAGCTCTTCTCAGGAAGAGGCAGCTCCGGGTGCTAAAGCTTCTCGTCCTCAACGTCCTCAAGAACCCGCACAAGCTCCTGGTGGCAAAGAAGGCGGCAAAGGAGGCAAGTCCTCTAAAGGCAAGGACAAGGACGCCAACAAGGGCAAGTCCAAGGGCAAGTCCAAGGGCAAGAACAAGGGGAAAAACTGACTAGGTTCCGATTCTTCGGACGTGGATATGGACAATGGTTCTGACGAAGTTCCTGTGGAACAAGATGAAGACCTTGCTCCAGATCCACAGATATCGCTACCTAGGAATGCTGCTGATCCCCGCGGTTACGACCCTGTTCGCCATCAGCCGATAGTGCCGATTCATGCCAACGACATCTACCGTTGGCATGGTCAAAATCATTGGCGTGATAGAACCTGGGATCGAGACTTAGAGTTCGTCGACTGAACTGGCTGAGTGTTTCACGGAATGCTTCTTTCATAAGAAGGTATCCAATCTGAACATTCGTCATTTCATAGGGAGATGCTTTTCTCAGGAAAAGGTACTTCCTAAAGAACTCTTCTTCAAAAGAAGATACTTATCTCAGGATAAGATACTTCCAATGCCCTTATACGTTTGCCGTGTCGCAAGATGTCATGCTGGCATCAAGTAGAGCTAAGCTCTACAACCTTTTATGTTACAGTATGCTTTCCACCTGGAGAGGGAACTGAAACACAAGTGGGCAACTTTCAAGCACAAGTTTCCAGTTGAAGATCCGTTTGCGTTTTTGTGCGTGTTCTGCTCTATTCAGTGAAGCTGTCTTCAGGTGAGAGAATGTATAGTTTCTCTTCAAGTCGCAGATGTAGCTCAATACTCCGCTAATTCGACCAAGAGCAATAATTAACAGGCTAGTTGAATGCCGACTCCACGGCCATGCAGCTCTACGTGTTTTAAATTTGTGCCTGGTTGAAACACTGAATGTTACACATCCAGGTGCCTGTCCGTTTCACGTATCACTTGCATGTATCCACGCCTGTTGCTCAAGGTTCTAGTGCAGTGGACTACAGCTGTGCGCATGTAGCAAAAGAGATACCTGAGTGCCTGTGTTCCTGTACGCCTAGCGAGGGGATACACGTCCAGGTTACATCTCAGGGGGGGGGGCGGCCGCCCCCCCCCCCTTCCCCCCCCCTGTGCAATTATTGGGTTCTGCAAGGACCGCTATGCGTTCTTTTTGTTTTGCTGGCAGGGTGTAATTACGAATCACAGAACTTGCGCGGCTTAAGCAAGATAGGAGGGCGGCTGACAAAGCAGCGCAAGACACGGACTGAGAGCTTATCCGCCGAGGCCAAATTCCTCTGACGTTTTGATGGTTCATACTAAGTAACCCTCCGCCTAATCCTCCTGCCTGCACGGGCTGCCCCCCCCCCAAAGCCAGCCGTACCCCCCCTTCCAAGCGTTTTTCCTTCCCTTCCTCCCCCCTCCTTCCCCTTTCTCCCCCTCCTTCTGCCCCACTTCAATCTTCTCGTTCTCCATCTTTCGCCACTTTTCCATCTTCCCGCTGGTTTCCATCTCCCACCCTTCCTTCCTGTCCTTTCGCGTGGTTTTTCCATTGCTTACTTCGCGGCCCACTTCTCTTGATTTGTTTTTTGTTCTACCCTGTCCTTTCTTCTTCCAAGCGTTCCTTCTTCCTCTTCCACGTTCTTGGCTTTTTCTTCTTTTTCCACCTGTCCGCTGCTTTCCGGCCCCAAGCTCCCCCCTTCTCTTTCCTTTCCTCCTTTTCCTTCTGCCCCGCTTCCTTCTCTTCTTTGTCCATCTTTTAGCACTGTTCCACCTTCCCCCGCTACTTGTCCATCTTCCCGCCTTTTCCATCTTCCCGCTGCTTTCGCTCGCGTGTTTTTTCCATTGCTCTTCTCCTTCGGTTCTCCTTGCCCCTTCCTGCCCTGTTCTCACTTTTGCCCCCCGCGTCCTTCTATACTTTCCGTCCTTCCTTCCTGTGCTTCGTTCGCGTGCTTGTTTCTTCAGTGTTTTTCCCCTTTAGTTTCCTTGCTTCCTCGTTGCAGTTCCTTCGTTTTCCTGTTTTGTTGCTCCAGCTGCTTCTGACTTGCTGTCTGGTATTATGTTCCTTCTTCCTTGTCTTCGCGGCATGACTGCTGACAGCAGCGCAAATGAGCATCTCCGACAAGCATGTCAGCAAAACCAAGGACACACTGCATATGCTGCAATTTGCTGCGCTCAGGCGTTTCCGCTGCAGCTGCAGTTGCTGATATTCAGCAAATGCCACCACATCGCAGCCTGGGGACAGGTTTCTGCGTGCACTTCTCTTTCTCCATCCGAAGCACTTTTCCATCTTCCCGCAGCTTTCCATCTCCCACCCTTCCTTCCTGTCCTTCGCTGGCGTGTTTTTTCCATTGCTTACTTCCCGGCCCACTTCTTGATTGCTTTCCTCCTTTTCCTTCTGCCCCACTTCCTTCTTTTCTTTGTCGTTTACCACTTTTCCATTTTTCCCAGTTACTTCCTCTTCCCGCCTTTTCCATTCTCCCCCCCCCTCCGCCCCCCCCCCACCCCTCCTCCGCCCCTCTTACCCCCACCCCCCCCGCGCCCCCACCCCCCCACCACCGACTTCTCTTGACTTCCCTTCCCACCCTGGTTAAGCGTCCTTCTCCTCCCCCACGTCCTTGCCCTTTCTCTTTTTTCCACCTTCCCGCTGCTTTCCTGCCCCAAGCTCCCTCCTTCCCCTTGCTGCCCTTCCTTCTGCCCCAATTCCTTCTTTTCTTTGTCCATCTTTTACCACTTTTCCTTCTTCCCCGCCACTTGTCATCTTCCCGCCTTTTCCATCTTCCCGCTGCTTTCGCTCGCGTGTTTTTTTCCATTGCTCTTCTCCCTCGGTTCTCCTTTCCCCTTCTCCTGCTCCTGCTGTTGCTGTTGCTGCTGCTGCTGCTGCTGCTGCTGGCACTACTGCCGCCGCAAGCCGAGGCGGGCCGCGTAGCGTTAGAGCTATATTTGCGAAGGATTGTCGACGGTTTGTTGATGCATGCCGGGGGAGGTCTTCTCCTGCGTGAACCAGCATGGTCGTGCGAAAGCTTGGAAACGAGGAAGGGCAAACGTGACTTTGCATTCCGCACAAACACACACACACACACATGTGTACTAGTGTACTGCTGTTGTTGTTGCTGTCATTGTTGTCATTGCCGTTTTACCCGCTACGGTTCACAGAAGGCACTAAACCGGGCTTTGGGCGCAACTCTAAAGGTCTGCAGTCTGCAACAGGCTCCTTTGCGAATCGTACGGGACGTCCTTTTGCCTGAGCCATTTGAGTGTGCCTCGGAGCTTCGTGCCTGTGTGGACGGCCGGGCCCCAATTCCCGAGGGCCTCCCGCGACAGCAAGTTCTGGACAAGCTGGAGGTAAGCGGTAGGGTTTCCACCTGTCCGCGCGGTGGAAGGAGCAGTACTTGGGTCACACCTAGTGTTGCGAAACTAGCGGATGGCGCGCCGACTGTGCCTCAGTGTTTTTCTCCCACCGAAGCTCTTTTGTTTACAAGAGGACCTGCAGAACGAAGCAAACCAAGGAGCAGTTCCAGTCGTCAGTTGGCCGTCTTCTGAACTTGGGTGCCTAGCAGGAAGCTGTCGAGACGAGGCCTCTTTCCTTGCCTTTCTTCGACTTTTCCACTTCTGGACGAGACACCCAGGGACAGCTGAAGTTTTTGTTCTACGCAGTTTTGTTGGCACTTTGGTTCTGCGCTTTTACGAGCACTCTCTTACAAGAAAGACCCGGGTCGCCTGCGCTTGTTGAGCAGTCTGCTTTGGACACTACACCTTTTTCCAAAAGCAGGGTAGACTGGCGCCGGCTGCGACAAAAAACACTGCGGTCGAACTTCTCCACTACCGTTGAGACCCTTTTGCGCAACACTGCAGTTGAGCAAGCGCCTTGGAATAAGTCAGAAACAAGAAAGGATGGGCACCACTACACGGCCTCGAGCCCCGACTTGCACCCCTGGGACTTCATTTACTACCCAGAAGGCCCAAGAGTCTTTAAAAGTTGCAATGAACACTTTTTAAAGACTATACTCCTTATTCACAAGCTTTAATTAAGGAGTACACTCCTCAAATAAGGAGTATACTCCTTATTTAAGCACTATAGTCCTTAAAATATAAGGAAGCAAGCTTTAATTAAGGCAGACACCCATTATTTAGAATAGATTCACACAATCCTAAATTAAGGAAGGTTCGGGGACCGCGGCGTGTGTGCAGGGCGAGGATAGGCACGACTTGATGTTTCCCTTGCTTTTCTTTTGCTTTGCAATTTTTTGGGCATAGTTTTGTTCCCCCAGACAGTGCTGAGGAAGTCGAATATATGGCTATGTTTTGTTTTAGTATTAAATATATATAATTGTATGTTTTAGTATTAAATATATATAATTGTATGAACTCATGAATATTAAACATGACCGACATGCAGAAATCCATGCAAATGTCTGCATACATGTGATATTAAGTGCACAGCTAGGAGATCCATGTCTTCCGGCAGGTTTCCTTTATAAATGAGGAGACCACATGGGCCTCCATGCACATGCGATCATGCCATGAAATGTATATAATATATATATATATATATATATATCGATCATGCATGCATGCATATCGCTACAATATGAGTATATTATAAAGTGTCGAATAACAAATATATTCGTGATATCACGAGCGTGCATGAATTAGTCGGACTTTTCCCCAACTCGCAGATCGAGAAGCCGATGGATCAGCACAATTCTGGAACTGCATACATGGATTTCCAGCGTAAGAAGTAAGACTCTGCCAGTGCTCGCACGGTGTTGGCACCGCCTCTCCGAAAAGCTGCCATTGCAACCTTGCCAGCAAAATCCTCATCCCTGTAGCACCAGTTCGCTGAAGGAGAGCAGGTGCAGCAGTAAGACAATTCCAAAAACATGCGCAGCTTAGGCTTTATTTTGCAAAGTTTCATGCCTAGTCTCTCCGCCTCCTTGTTGAGATCCACGTATCTCGAAGCGAATTCGAAGGCCTCCTGTGCCAAAGTGGCCGGCTGAAAGGAGTCCTTGGAAAGCTGATCGTAGCAGCGAGCGAAGGAGCTGGCAGCTTTCATGAGCATGTTGTCGAAGGGCTCTTCGGGGACTAGCACGGCCTGGGACACATCGTTGCTTGTGATAGTCTTGCCAGTGCTGCTGTCAGTCTGTCCTGACGAGGTGCGCGGAACACGAGGCCGCGTTGGGTTGGGGAGCTCAGCGTCGTCTTGGCGCGACTCCACAGTCGCAGTGGAGCTCCGTTTCGGCCTTGTCGGCTCATCAATGAGGCCGACATTACCGACTTGCCACAACACTGCGGTTTTGTGAAGGAAAAACTGACGCAAAGCCTCACCGAATGGATAATCTTCTGCATACAGCGCGCCTGCTGCAACGCGAGTCTGGTGATCACGATCCAAGAACCATTGGATGGCTTGGTTCACACTGCCCGGGTGACGCCGGAGACGCTCTGCAGCGAAAGTGCGGTAGGTCAACACGTCTGACACGGCAAATTCATTGACCTTGGTGCCTGGATGCAAACTTGGAATCGCGCTCCGCTGTGCCTGCAAGCGCATAGCTGTTCAACAGGATTTCGTGCGTACGCAGCAGACTGATAAGATCTTTGAAAGTAGCTGCAGGCGGCTCGGCTTTGAGAATCACGCGGAAATCACCAAGCTGCTTGACTTCCGTAACTGGCATTGCAGAGCTTTCAGCTGCACTACGAACCTTTTGGAGGTCATCAACTTCCTTCTTCATGCGGCGGAACTCTCTGTAGTGCCGTGCCAAGAGGCTCGAGGAAGGCCGAAACTCCGGCGGAAACTTGAGACTGTACTTGGCCAGGAATGCATCTTCCTGCTTCTGTCTGAGCTCTGTGGGGAATGGGGCTTCAAGGTCTTCCTCTGCGAAGGCTGTGCTGGATGCAGACATAAGATCTTGACGTGCCCTAGCCCAAGCGACCGCAAACGACTGAGCTGGATTCTGCTAGAGCTGCAAGCAAAAGCTCTTTGACCCCTTCTTCATAATCGCACTCCGTGTAAAGCCCGAAAAAGTCACTGACAGATTGGGCTCCCAAATCTTTGACTTTCTGGAAAACTGAGGGGTCCAACTTGTGCTCCGACACCATGAAGGCTTCGAGTCTGTCTATGCTGCCTGCCATGGCTCGAGGCCGACTACGACAGTCTAACAGAGCTACGCTGTCACGTACTACATTGGAGTCAAAAGCAAGTGAAAACAACGAGCAGCTGCAAGAGATGAAACTGTTTGCAAAAGCATGCATGCAGTTCGGAGATCTTACGACAGGTAGTTTTCATGCACGAGGCGCTGCGTGCGCAAGGATACTGTCAGGTACTGCGCAAGGAAGTTTCATCGTGCAAGGTGCACAAAACGGGAATGTGTGCTGAGAGCTGCTGTGAGCCCGGACGCCCACAGAATCCCAGATTGGTTAAAACTCGGTTGCAGCAAATCGGCGTGAGGCCCTGGGCTTCCTCAGCAACATGCCAAACGCCTTTGGCGGGGCTGACAAAACTGAGCTGTTCAGGGTCTGAAAGAGCAGGGCCGGTCGGGACGGGAAGCTGCTCGGAGAGCGCACTACTGGAGGACGAAATGTTTGGCGAGTCCGAATCACAGTGGCGCGCTCTGTTGGGACGGCGCTGTCGAGGCATGGCTCCGGCAGGGAGTCGAAACCCTCACCCCAAGCAGACGACATGGTAGCTTCCCGAAGCTTTTGCAAGTGGGGAACAATTGCACGCAGTTTGGCCCACTGCTGACAAGCGGGAACATGTCGGAGCAGATGGTTTACAGCCGCGAGACAAAGCCGACGTGCGTGAGCTGCCGTCTCTAAGCGCTCAGCACTATAACGGACAGGCAAAGGCAAGCGACGACCGTTTGACCAATTCCCCAGGCAAAGTGCAAGGAAATGGCATCGGCCACCGTCAGCAAGAAGCGGCGCAGCGAACGTGTGGACAACTGGTTTGCTTCGTCTGCAGACAAAGATAACGGCGGTAGCATCAACAGCGACCGAAAGAAACTCAAAAACCCGCTGCAGAAAGCACAAGCTGACCGAATCACAACTCCACCAAGCGGCTCGAAGTACATGTCCGGCAGGAAGGGCCCGCTTGCACCAATGGTGTGCTGAGCGGCTTCTTGAAGTTGGAGAAGCAAGTCGTTGGCAGTGGCCGCGCAGGTTGGCAGACTCACAGCAAAGGGCAAACCATCCTTGCCAGCGGAGACTTTCCAGACAGATGTGCGCAAATTGCGCAGCTCCGGTGCCAAAGTAGCCCTGGAACAATGCCTGAATCGTAAGCCAGAAACTGCAAAACGCACCACGAAAGCAGCCGCGAGGGGAACCCCTTTCAAAGGGAGCCCTGCGGAACTCAACTGGAGAAAGGTGAGCCCAACACTGCGGTTGCAGTGGCAGGACCTGTCGAGGCCACGTGCTTGTGGGAGCACTGGCGGAGGGCTTCAACAACGGTGACTCAAGTGGCACTGGGACTTGCAACTCATCGCGAAGCCACTTGTTGGAAAACCGCAGCAGGAACTGTCCTTCCGCGAGCTTCTTGCGCAAGCAAGAACTTCTTGGCAGTCACGTCCCGGAACTTCAGCTCCAGATGCTGGTCCAGGTGCCATTGTACGTCACGATTCCAAGTGCGGAGGACCGCTGCAACAGTGCCAGGTTGAAACCGCAGCAAGAGAGATTCGGCCAGAGCAGTTGCATACTCCGTGCGCCGCTGGCTTGGCATGACCAAATCGTCTCTGCTGGACGCAGAGCTACAGCTGAACACGGTTGTGGTGCAGCAGACGGTTGCAGTGGCGCCGAGGGCAGCAGCTGGGGCAGAGTTGAGCACCTTCGCACTGAGGTGCGCCAGATCTTCTTGCGCAGTGCATCGAAGCTGTGCCGATCGCTATAGGAATTGCAAGCTCGTCTTCTGCCTCAGCGTGTAGCAAACCTGCGACATCCCGCTCTTCGACACCTTTTCGCGAGAGGGCCTCCAAAAGCTCGAGCTCTTGCACAGTGTAGGCCGCAGCCGTCATGGCGGGAAACAAATCGAGCAGGAGGCTGAAGCCGACACTGCAGACACGAAGATCAAACGAGGGAGCATGATTTGGTGAATACGAGTGCACCGATGCCTGCCAATCCTAAACACATCGACATCCTAAGTCGTCCTAAACCCCAAATCTCACAGGGCAGTACCGAGATTTGGCCGTCAATGTTGCCTGCACCGTAGGGGTGACCAGGAAGGCAGGGCCCCTCCCCCGACCTCACACCCACATGTGCAAAGGTGCTCAACAGCATGGTGTTGTGGCCTCCAAGACTGCTAGAAGCAGCGTGAAAGCTCCTAGCAGACTTTGGGAATTCACCAAAACATTCATGCGTGGAAAACCATGGCACATCTAAAAAGGCAGCGGCTACACAAAACTACACAGACGCCCAATATATCTGATATATGTATATTTCCCGAAAACATCGCGAAGGGTTCTTCCGTGCGAAGCCCTTGAGAGAAGTACATGGAGTGAAGTACATCGAGTGAAGTGCATAGTGCATAGAGTGAAGTGCATAGTACATAGAGTGAACTACATCGTGTCAAGTGCATGGTACATAGATGACTCCATGACTCTATCTCACTCTGACTCTATCACTCTATGATTCTCTGACTCTATGACTCTATGACACGATGACTCTATGACACTCTGCCTCTGTGACTCTATGACTCTGTGCTTTTGACTCTATCCGACTTATCTACATGTCGGTAGATAATCTCTCTTTTCAAAGCCAGGGTGGCACCGTCGTCATCGATCGGGAATGCAACCCTTCACAAGAATTGGCCTCGGTCGAGTGTCCAAACGTGTGGGAAAGTGACAACTCTTAGGCGCCACGCGCAACCCTTCACAGGGATTGGCGTGGTCGAGCGCCCAAACGTGTAGCAAAGTTACAACTTTAGGCCGCCCCGCACAACCCTTCACAGGGATTGGCGTGGTCGAGCGCCCAAACGTGTAGGAAAGTTACTGCTTTTCGGCGCTCTTAAGCGCCATTCGCAACCCTTCACAGGGATTGGCGCCCAAACGTGTGGGAAAGTTACTACTTTTCGGCGCTCTTAGGCGCCATTCGCAACCCTTCCCAGGGATTCGCGTGGTCGAGTGCACGACCATGTGGGAAAGTTACAACTTTAGGCCGCCACGACGGTGTGGTCGAATGTTGAAACGTGTGGGAAACTTACTACTTTTGCGGTGCTTTGCGGTGCTCGGGAGAGAAGTACATAGAGTGAAGTGCATCGAGTTACGTGCATAGTACATAGAGTGAATGCAGTACATCGAGCCATCGAGTTACGTGCATAGTACATAGAGTGAAGTACATAGAGTCAGGTGTGCATAGTACATAGAGTGAAGTGACGCTATGATTCTATGTACCTGTGTACCCGACTTATGTACTTGACTCTATGCACTGGACTGGACTAGACGAATATGACTCTATGTACATGTATACTTGACTCTATGACTCTTTAGGGTTTAAGGTTTAGGGCTGAGGGTTTAAAGCTTAGGGTTTAGGGTTTATTGCCTTAAGGGTTTAGGGCTTCAGGTTGAGGGTTTATAGGCATAAGTTACTGGACTAGACTAATATGACTCTGTGTACATGTATACTTGACTCTATGACTTTTTAGGGTTTAGGGTTGAGGGGGGTTTAGGGTTTATGGGCATTGGGAAAGTTACTACTTTTTGCGGTGCTTTGCGGTGCTCGCATAGAGTGAAGTGCATCGAGTTACACGCATAGTACCTAGGGTGAATGCAGTACATCGAGCTACGTGGATAGTACATAAAGTGAAGCACATAGAGTCAGATGCATCGTCCACAGCGTGAAGATGTGCTTGACTCTAGGACTCTCTGTACCTGTGTACCTGACTTATGTACTTGACTCTATGCACTGGACTGGACTAGACGAATATGACTCTATGTACATGTATACTTGACTCTATGACTCTTTAGGGTTTAGGGTTTAGGGCCGAGGGTTTAAGGCTTAGGGTTTTAGGTTTATTGCTTAAGGGCTTAGGCCCTAAGGTTTAGGGTTTATAGGCATTGGTTCACCAATAATAAACCAATACATCTAGAGATTTTCGTTTACTTCAATCATCCAATAAACTCTTGAGGTTTGGGGACCCTTGAACCGGAAACTTGACCTTAGCCCAAAAGAGACACCTGCAGTACTAAAGGTTGTAAAAAAGATCTGGGGGACTCTATGCATCTATGCACTGGACTACACGATTCTATGTACTTGACTCTATGCACTGGGCTATGCACTTGACTCTATGCACTTCACTGTATGCAGTTGACTTCATGTACTTGGGTTTATGCGCTGATTCGAGAGCTCTGACAACATCGGGTGAAGTACGCAGAGTGAAGTACATAGAGCGAAGTACATAAAGTCAAGTACATCGATCTCGGCATTATTATGTACTTGATAACTATATGCACTTCACTATATGAGTCTGTGGTTCTATGCACTAGATTCTATGACTTTAGCTGTTTGACTCTATCACTTTACGTAGCGCAAAACTCTTGGCAAATGAAGCTTTCGGGCCACTTGTCTTCTGGTTTTTGGCGCATGCCCTCATGCGGCGATTCCGGTTCATCAGAAATCGTAAACACTCTCCTTCAAGCGGCGATTCCGGTTCATCATATATCGTAAACATGCCCCCTCATTTGGTGATTCCGGTTCGTCGTGTATCTTAAACATGCACCCCCTTGAACGAGACCAGTTCATCATATATCTTAAACATTTAACACGTTCCATTCACCCGCGTCCAAGTTGTCACAGGCCGCAGCCTGTGCCCACAGCACCGCTGAAAAAGAGACCGGAGGGCGTTTGGGGACCCGTAGGACCAGAGGACCACAGACCAGAGGACCAAGCGACCAGAAGACCAGGGGACCAGAGCACCAGGGACCAGAGGACCGGGGGACCAAGAATCCTCGGCCAACCTTACCAAGGACCCCAGACCAGTGCCAACCTTGGGAAAAAGCATAACGGGCCCTGCACTGTGGAGCGAGAAAATTGGTTCGCGAGGTGGGCGTGCTGCCTTCCGCCGGCATGACCTTTGAAGGGTCGTTTTGCCGGTGCTCTCGCAGGACAATCTAGTATCCCGGAGGCATCAGCAGTCTATTCAATCC